GAATGGCTCATAACAACTAGCCATCGATTAAATATGTTTGCAGGCATGCCCGTATCCTGTTTTACAAATTCCGCTCATGGGCTTTGTCAAGGCCAACGTGCACACGCAGATGCATCTCATTTTATTTACTAAAGCTATGTTAGGACAGTCATCACTGATGATTCAGCAATATGGTCTCTTCACGCTTGCGCAAAATATTAAGGAAAAATATATTCATGTGCCTGATTATATTAATTCGCTCCATTTTTTCTTATGAATAAATTGACTTATGACTTTATTTTATTAACTGCTGCTTAAATACCATTATGGAGATGACTGTTTTTCAGTAAGCAGTACAATATAAAGTTATGATAGTAGTAACCGATAACTGCATGACACATGGCACGATGAGAAGTGGCCAAACCTGGTAAGCTGGTAGCGGCTATAATCAAAAAATTGAAGAAAAACAAATGATGCGAACTGATTCAAGCATAAGAGCTTTGTTTCATCAAAACAAAAAAATCAGCGGCTGCCTCGTTCCATCTTTTATGGTCTCTGAAAAGTACGCTACCTCCGAGAATGTCAGCTGATGAATTAATGTAATTATGTTTGAGAGAACACGCAATCATACTGTTCTGTGGTTCAACGAACCCGGGACAAACTTTATGAAGTGTCGAGGTGCCAAAAGCTGGCATCTTATTAAGAATGTTAGTAGATATTCTCAATTTATCGAACGTTGATTGAGCGGTAATGCCAGTGATTAATTTTATCAAATTTATACTACTCGTTTTGGGCAAGCTTATAATCCGTGATTGTCTTGTGGATGAAAAGTTGCGCGCGAGATGGAATAAAAAATTTTTACTGAAGCAAAAGTGTAATGTGGTCATATGCATGAAAAACAGCAGCTTTTATGACGTGTTGATGAACCTGCAAGCTGTTCAGATTATTAACGTAATACGAGCTCAGTCAATCTTACAAGCTGAGTATTTCACATACTATTGCTATGCAAGATAAGAAAATAAATCTGTTCTAAATATTTTGTTTCAGTTGAAATCCTTCTTGACCTCTATTTGGTATGCATGTTGTTGAAACGGATTTGACACGACATAATATAGTATTTTTAATTATGTAGATTCGTAGAATCCCAACAACGGTACTGTAGTTGACATATTTCTAGCAGTGCACTGGCCGAGGGTTAGTGCTGTCATTCATATAGATGCTATTTGATGAAACAGCCTTGAGCATCATCAGGGTTCTTTTCCGTAACTGAGAATATTTTCCGCAATGTTTTATACTTCCAACGTCCTGTAAACGGTTTGATAGCTGTTTTATCGCTGAGAACTTACTGTTAACTAGGTTTGTTCATTCGATCCCAATATACACGAAAGTAAGCCCCTTTCCTGACTTGGAAAATTCATTCATGTTCAGCGCAATTAATTGATATTCTGTCTTGAAGAGGATCATACCTGTTTGATCGAAAAGTTTGCGTATTAATAGAAGGTATTTTAAAGATTGACGTTAAACTTATGCTGATCAGTGAGAGCATCATCCGCCCATATTAAGCTGGTTGCTAAAATGAGCTATCACAGTTGGAAAACAGTTATTGTATTTCGATGCTTTTCTCGGTTTTTAAGAACCAGTTTGATTTTAGCTGAAAAGTGTACTCCGGGCGATCAGGGCTACATATCCAGGCCACTGACAAAGCTGAACTTTTGCGATTCAGGTCTGAATCATCTGTCGGTTGCGCAGCAGAAACTCGATTCCCTTAAAACCTGGGGTATCTCCACATACAAGTGCACTCGCCAGGCGATATCAGAGCGTTTGGGAAAGGTAAAGTGCTCTTTTGCCCTTTCTTTACTTGTTCGTTTGACACTTGTCTTGTTTCCGCGTAAGAAATCTCATCTTTTTGAAAGCTCTTTCGAGTGAGTAACGGAGGAAAGTGTCGATTCATTACCTGCATGAATAACTATTAATTATCCATGTATCAGAGCAACAGTTTTTAATGAATAATGTAATTTCTTTTAATCACCGACGCGTTTCGGTGATGCCGCGCATCAGCGTCTTCCTCAGGATTATACTACGCAAATAAAATTAAGCATAAAATTGAGAATCAAGTTTCGAGTGAAGTTTTGTTCCATTACTTCTTCAGGAAATGTTGGCCATTATGAAATCTTTTGCATTCGTTGCACAATTCATT